TTGATTTTCAGCTGAACCCAGGTGCTTATAATCGGGAAAATAATCTTGTTGGTGCTATTGGTATAGTACGAAGTGCAAAAGATGAGTTTAATGTAAAGGATCTTCATCCTGAAGAACAAAAACTAGTTAATAACTTTAGAAAGGTTGTTCCACCATTCATCTCGGGAATCGGATCAAAAAATAGTCCCTCTGTTTTCAGACCTGCTATATTTCAACGTTAATTGTAGCACCAGACTTTAGAAAGAAAGGCATCGCTACACAATTGTTGCAACGTGGTACTACAAGGCTGGCACAAAAAGGCAGTCAACTAGTAAGTTCTGATCGATTCATCTTACGTATGATCTCATCAAATCAACAATAATTTAGGTTTATCTTCATGTTTTACATTCAAATATACCTGCAATTCGCCTTTACGAGAAATTGGGATTTGAAAGAGTTGCCGATGTTCCAAAGTATGTCTAACAGCTAAAGGTTTACTGGGAAGTTGGCATTTTTGATACGACCTGAATGTATCTAGAGGTACAGGCGACCTATACCCTGTGACATGCAGCTTTCCCGAACCTATCTGCCACTCCAACGAGCTCTTCTCCTTTAGTTTGACGAAATAGACAGAAATTAGAGGGTTTCAGATCTCTTTCACCTGCCCTCAAGATGATCGGCTTTGACTAATCTAGTGAGAGCTAGGGAGAGGGGATACGAGACTTGCCCTCTGTTCCCTCGTCCTAGAGTTGCCACAAAGATTTGTACCTACTGCTCCTCATGGACGGAATGGAGCAAATTTAGTCAATAGTCGAACAACCAGTGACTAGAGATGCCATTACCCAGTAATGAGCACAGAAATGTCTAGTTGATCAATTCTTATTGCATTGGCTGGCTATTTCAATCAATTTCTCCTTAAATCCTCCACCCGAATCGATAATATCATTTTCGACTGCCTTTTCAGTTACTATACGATCAACGGTGCACGGGAGACCGGCATCATCTACAGTAAAGGTCTGACTAGCGGAACATGCCAACAGTGCGGAACCCAAGACTGTCGCTGTACCATAACGTGACAACAATCGGCTGAGAAGATAACGATACCGTATAAACCCTATTCTTTCGGCATTAAATGTATGATCTTGTATAAATGTACGCTAATTTTGCTTTGGCTTCCTCTGAAGGATCCAATAAGGTTTGGAAAAGTAATACAGAGAGGTAATACGGCAGAGTATCCTGCCTAGATCGATTCGTATCTCTTCCATAGTCTCGTTCCTATATGAGGATGCTCTGAACAGTTTTTCGGGCGGGTGAAAACCTGAAGGGATGGAACTGTTGGGTTTCCAGCTGGTATCAGATATGGCCATCCGACACTAAGCAATAAATTCAAGAGTACAACCATGGTAAACGTAAACAGAGCCGACATACTGCGAATAATTTGTTTCTTGCACCATTGCATCAACTCGTATCAAGGGAGTTCTTTTCTGCTTCTCAAGGCCTACAGCACCACCAACAAAGTTTGTTTTGTGCGATGACTACACTTCTCCTTTACCGCAGGAGAACCTCAGAATGCCCACGAAACTAGGTCTCATCCAAAAAGTGCTGCGCTCTGCTGATGTAGGATCGAAGTGACTAACCACTTCTTACAAAATTGCTCCTTCACTCAATCGAACCCTTAACACCACCTCAAATCAATCAAAGCGTAAAGAAAATTCGCAAGACTCACTGGCTCAATATGCCCGAGAATGGAAGCAGGACGGGGGTAAGAAGGCGGAGGAGGAGCGTTGGCTCGAAACTGCTGGCTAGTCTTTATAAAAATATTAAGCTAGTTCACTTCTTAGAATATACCTTAAGCAGTTCCAGTTCAGTTTCAGCTCTCAAAAAGGTTCAATTGCTGCTCAGGTTGTCGTCTCCCAGTAAAGGGTGAGAACTCTTGCGGGTGGTCTTTAGTGTCAGAATGACAAAGCGTTTTTTCACCTGTCACCCATTCATATTCGAATTATTCTTGACCGAAGAATATGCACTCGTAAGTTACCTTACCCACAGATATTTATCAAATTTATAAGGCATTACATAAATAGTGTTGGCAAAGGCTAATGTTGCTACATATATAGTTTCATTAGTGCTACTGGTTGTTCTTTTCGGAAAAGTTCGATTCAACAGAGTATACTCTTTTTTATGAATCATCGGTTAGTATGATTATAGTAAATTTCTTATCAAATACAAAAAAGAGGTACAGAAGTTCCTAATTAATAAACGGATCAGTAAGTTGAATTGATCATCCAATTAATTTATTTACTTATCTATTTAGTTATTCATCGAGACCGGAAACGGTATAGTGGCAAATGAGCACGCGCGCATGAGGTGGGGAAAGCACCGGAACGATAACTGTCTAGGCCAACCGAGCCTTTAATTCCTCCAGGTCTCTAATTGGTACCGGACTCGTCTGGGATTTGCTGGCCACTATGAGCCATAGTAAATGCCACAAACGCCACTACAATTTTCAGTGGAAGTCGAATTAGGGGCACATCCCAACGATCGATCCCTGAAGTTTTACCCTTCGATCTTCGGAAAAAGCGTAACTTTTTCATATTTTGAACTTATTCACCGTCGTCTTCCCTGTAGGGCACTGTTTCCGGTAAGAGGCCAACTGAAACCCGGCTTTGCACCTTAAGCTCCTCAGAATACAAAGCCAAGTTCTAAATAGTTATGATGGCAACTACGAAATAAGGTCGATTTCATAAAGAAAGTTGTCAATTTCAGATAAAACCTCGACACTCTCTGAAGTGGTATGGTATTCTTCGACACGATCACGTATCATCTATACGGCGATATATTCTTCATAGCACCTACATTCATTCCTACCAAAAATAGTCCGTATCTAATTAATCACTTCATATTCGTAATAACTCAGACTATTGAACTTATCGCTGTCGTATTCTCCCTGCCAGTCGTACTACTACATAACTACTGCCTTACAAAAAGCACCTTATTTCATCCAAACCTTGTTCGAATCGCACAGGTAAGGTCGGACTCTCAGGCATGACGTCGAAGGCCTGACTTCCTCACTTGGGATCCTTTCCATGCAATATAGTCCTAAAACTGCGGCCCAAAAAAAAAACAGATGTCGGCAGTCAACACGACGTCGTGCTCGCCGTAATTTTACTGAACTTTTTTTTGCACTGATCGCCGTTATTAATCTTTGTAGGACAAACCCAATACAGTTAAGAAAAAATATTCCAGGTCTATCTGAGTGGTAACTATTTTGCGATAATATCACGTTTGACAACGCATCTCTATCAAGTTGGAGTGCTCCATTTCGATGGCAAGTTAACAAACGAGTAATCAGACAGTTCCCAATTAGATCAGATATTTACAGATAGAAACAATTTCTCGAAAATACTGCTATTCATCGTATCGGTAATACGTTCATACTTCCTTATGTCAACAGTGATATTTCTAGTCGAAGTGATAATTGAGCGGACATTTGCATTCTATTTTGTGGCTGATTACGAAAAGAAACCTCGCCTTTGGATTTCCACTAGCATTCTGGCAGTCACTCTGCCAATCACACTTCTAGTTACTGTTATGATGCTGATTCGTGAGTTCATTTTGCAATCCCCCATCGTTTGCCAAGTCCAGGATTCCCCTTTTGAAAACAACCCATCTCCTCTGCCGATCGCCTGGTACACGTTCTACGGCTTGGTAAAGGCACAGTTCGCGATAATTCAATGGGCGG